CAGCAGTTAAGAAAATTTTTCTCAAAAAAGCTGATTCAGATAAGAATGTTTGTAAGTTTCTGATATTTGCCTTGTCATTCGGATATAAATATTGTATTCAAACAATTGATTTTAACCAGCTATTGATAATAACTCTCGTACAGAAGCTATATTCTGATAAAATTTGACACAGCTATTCTCAACAAGTAACGCTCCTCGCTTCGACTCGCTAAACTCTCGACTGAATTTTTCAGAAAACGCACGAATATCGTTCGTATACTCTTATATGACTGTGAGATAAGTCCGCTATTGTCTAATGAAAGCCAGTATCTTTTTAATTATATCTCGTTGTTGAGGAGTTTTCTATGCAATAATCCTTAAACAATGTAAAGATCAATAGATTTCAAACAATCTTGTACATTTTAATGCAAACAGACCGAAAGATAGAAATATATTATTACAAGCAAATAACAAATTTATGTGACAATCATATAAGAATAATCGAAAGATATTCGTGTGTTTCTCAGGAAATTTTTCCAATCAAGCGCTGAGAGTGGACATTTTCTTTGAGTACTGTCATCTTGCATATGTGGTCCACATATGAGATCGAGCTACAGACCTATAAAGAAAAAGTTGAAAAGAGATCCGTGTTTCGGCAACTTTCACCCCCACACTGTATATGACTATAGCCGCAATACAAAATATCTTTTATTACATACAAAGACGCACGATACATAAATCAATTCCCTATTTGGATCTTAATGCTAAAAGACTATCAGTTATTCTTCATGGTTATTTTGATTTCAACCCATTTTCGCATCGATGATATTGTTAGTAGTTTATTCTGCAATAAAAAAGAATAAATGAAAATTGCTAGAAGTTCACTTTAAGAATGATTTTTTTAATTTTTTTACTTAATTTGTTACCGTATATCACTATTTTATATACTAAGAATGTTTTATTTCAGTGAATTAGGGATGACTCTTTATCTTTACTTTCCTTTATAATAAAGGATGAAGGTAAATGAATCCTTTACTCTTAAAAAAATAAAGATAAATGGATCCTTTATTTTTAGAAAATAAAGTTAAATAGATAAAGGAATACTTTATTTTTAAAAATAAATGTAAATAAATCATTTCTTTTTAAAAAATAAAAGAAAAATAAAGGAATAAATGATTCTTTCTTACTACTGATCATAGGATTGGAAGAGCACTATAGCGTCACGAAATAAATCTGCAGAGAGATTGTTATCGTTTCACAATGTAATTTGATTAAAAATATGCTTCCTACGATGAAATTCAAAAAACAACAGAAATGAAAGCTTCACTTCTGATGTTTTATAGAAGTAACAAGAAAGAATACATCCTATTCCGCGATGTATCACATTGCGGAATCGATTCCGCCCCCGGAATCAGTTCCATCCGATTCCGGAATTCCCAATCGTCAAACTAAATCGCCTTATTCGAAAACGATCGAGTTCCTTCAAATTCCGGAATTACCGGACTTGCATCGGATTTCCGAATTGTATGTGATTCCGCAATGGAATTCCAGGAATTAGATCGAAGCGGAATCAGACGGAATCGACCGGAATTACCACTGATTCCCAGCGATTCCGCCGAATTTCTTTCGACTCCGAAATGGGATGGAATTGCAGGGAATTGCTAACGATTCCTTCCAATTTCGTCCAATTCCGCGTCGATGTAATTCCCGAAATTCCGTTTCATCCTCACCCACACCATGTCTTGTGTAGTCATAGACAAGTATCTAAAATAAGTGAGCGATTCCCGAATAGAATTCCGGGAATTACATCGAAGCGGAATCAGACGAAGTCGGATGGAATTAGACAGAATCGGAAGGAATAGCTAGCAATTCCCAGGGACTCCGTCGAATTCCTTTCAATTCCGGAATTAGAATGCAATTCCTGAATGGAACGAAATTGCTGGGAATTGTTAGCAATTCCTTCCAATTCCGTTTAATTCCGCCCGATTCTGTTTAATTCCGCTTCGATGTAAATCTCAGAATTCCATTACACTCACACCCACCCCATGTCTTGTGTAGTCATTGACAAGTATCTAAAATAAGTGAGCGATTCCGGAACGGAATTTCGGGAATTACATCGAAGCGGAATCAGACGGAATCGGAAGGAATTGCTAGCAAATCCCAGGGATTCCGTCGAATTCCTTTCGATTCCGGAATTAGGATGCAAGTCCGGAATGGAACGGAATTGCTGGGAATCGCTAGGAGTTTCCTCCGATTGCGTCTGATTCCGATTCCATCTGATTCTCAGAATTCCCTTCCGGAATCGCATCGAATTCGAGAATGGAATGCAATTCCAGTAATTCCGGAATTTGAAGGAACTTGATCGTTTTCGAATAAGGCGAGTTAGTTCGACGATTGGGAACTCCGAAATCCGATGGAAGTGATTCCGGGGACGGAATCGATTGCGCAATGTGTAACATCGCGGAATAGGATGACTGTTCTCACAAGGAGGAAAATATTCTTATAACACTCTAATACGATCCAAGGCCTCTTATGTATTCAGACATCTTGAGGGTGTGAGTGTGCGTGTGCGTATGGGTGTGGGTGTGGATGTGGGTGTGAATGTGGGTGTGGATGGGAGTGTGGGTGTGGGTGTGAGCGTGGATGTATGTGGGTTTGGATAAATTGAAAATTAACATCGACATCGATACCCATACACCCATACTCATCCTCACACCCACATCCAGTCTACACCCACATCCACACCCACACTCACACTCACACCCATACCCGCACCCACATGCACACCCATCCACACTCACATCCACACTCACAGATAGTACGTCGAGATATTATGCGATGAACGTATACAGTCGGCATATTGTTAGAGAAGTCGTACGCGGTGGGTTGTTATGGCAATTGTTTACAACGGCCACAAAGCATTGTAAAACATCGTTTACGATCGCTGTAAGGGACTGCCGTATACTGCTAACGTACACTGTGTCTTACGACATTTTATAATACCAGCGTATGCAGTCGTCGCGCTGCCACGCTAGTCGTTCTCGGGGACACTTTATGGTCAATGTTTACAATGGCCGTACTATGCCGTAAAGCAGCAGATACGACTGTTGTAAACGGGCACCCCGTACGGCTGAAGTATTCAATGTCTTACGTTGTTTTCCGACCAACGTATACAGTCACCGTATTGTTACGATAGTAGTTAACGATGGACTTTTATGGGTACTGTGTACGATTGCCGTAATATGCTGTAAAGCATCGTTTACTGCTGCGGCAAATAGACAACGCAAACAGTCACCGTTATTCGCCGTATTTGGTTAGTGAACGGTCATTTACGAGCGGGCATGATTGACCCGGATATTCGTCTCTTCTATCCTCAATGAATAAACAAACAAGGATAGTCTCTTTTACACTAGCGGGACTGATTCCATCAAGGGAGAATAGTCTATCGCAGAGACGTCCAGAAAAGGACCCTAACTCTTCGATGAATTAGATACACGACTACTAATTGTATCTGTGAACCACCTCGGAGAACTTTGCTCATCAAAAAAATGCAGTTGAAGACGACTAATGACTATTAGAGCGCATAGGCGGCGGAAGCTAGAGGCTGGGTGAGGCATGAGCCTCACCCGAATTCGGCGTCTGGAGGCTCAGACTCACCGAAATTATGAGTTCGATATTTTTTTGAACGATGGTTTAGACTTATTTTATCTAATGAATATTATTTCAGTGCGAAGATTGGAACTTCTAATACACTTATTTGTATGTTGTGATAAAGAACACTACAAAATTCAGATGATGATAAACGCACTAACTACATTCTTATGGTTCATGGGGACATCTTTTACCTCATTGACATAAATTGATGTGTACTAGACCAATTGTGGAATTATGCGATCAAAAGGCATTAAACTTAGCTAGCTATATTCGAGTGTCTTCTTATTCTCTTTAATGGATTCAGTGAAATTCACATATAGTAATTGTTTAAAATATCAACGAATATATCAACTTAAATACACTGTGAAAGGAGCCTATTTAGATACTTGTCTGAATATCTAGCTTTCATATTTTTTGAATACCTTGGCGTTATGATTTAACCACTACGTTAGAAGATTATTATACTATTGTTGCTGAGCAAAATGTGTTTTCACCCTAGTGAATGTGCTGAACTAAGGGTACCTGAAAAAGTACCCTGCTACTAGTATGGCACAGGATCTTTCAGGTACTGATATACTTCAAAGTACGTTGAGGTACTTTTAAAGTACTAGGGCGGATACCCTGCTGAAAAGCATCTAGTAAATGGGTACTTGAAGGTATTGATCAGGTACTAGACTGGGTACTCTTGCACAGTATTATAAGGTACCTTGTTACCGAAATTGCAGTATACGGGAGATCGAACCTAACCTATGGCTTTTTATTTTGTCTTTCTCAAAATAAGTTGCTATATTTTTCTAATTTAATTTAATTTAATTTTTAAAACTCCAAAATCTCAAATAGGCCAAATTACTCGACCTGACCGAGCTGGAGTCTCAATGAGACCACTTTAAGGTAGTCCTCTCTCAATCTACGATTGAGATCAGCATGTCCTCAACTAATAAATAGTCGAGAAATAATACAGAATAAAATCGTATGAAAAAAATTTAGTTTCCTCTGTATCGTGGAGTTGTTTATATGAAGCCATCTGTGCAAAAGAAGGTGGTGAATGAACAGTCTCTCTGCAGAACGCGACGAATCTAGGGTAGCCCTATTGAACTTTCCCCAGTAAAGTTACAGAGACAGGTACTCATAGAAGTACTTGTTCAGTAAGTATACTGCTATCACTACCCAGTACAGTACCTGCATCAATATAACTACTGGGAACTTTCGAAGTACCCGCAATGGGTACCCTGCTGAAGTTTTCTCAGTACGTGGGTACCCTGTACTCAGTACATTCTCTAGGGCATGTTTATATGAATAATAAACAGATGAATAGTACTTTGTTTTGATCGTAGTCATAAAATTATTAATTTAGATTATAAACAGTAATGGCGTCAAAACGATGTGCTGGATCAATTTTGGAATATTTTACTAAAAAAATGAAAAGTTCAACAGCATCTGTATCTACAAAAGAAATTGCTTTAACTGATCTAATTAATCTTTCAACAAGTTCTCGAGATGAAGTTCTTGAAGAATCATTTGTAGCTCAAAGTACTCCTCTTGTGAATTCATTAAATTTGTTTAATACGAATAGTTTACTGGAAAATTATGATGAATCTGAAAACCGGGCTGCAATTGTTGATAATTGTAGTGAATCATCATATGAAAAAAGACAAATGCTTTTCGACTGAACTTTAGCGCGAAATAAATGATCCGCTTATTTTTTTAGAAACTTTTGTCCTTCTACAGAGATTTGGAAATTCTCTTAGTCAAGGTTAAACTAAGTTAGCGCATTAATCTTCTGACTGAAAAAAAAATTAAACAGTATAAAGCGAGTTATTAGCTAAAATTCACTCATATTGTCTCATGCTAATATACAAAAAGCTATTTTTGAGCCTCACCTGATTTCAACACGTGCCGCCGCCCCTGTAAGAGCGTATGAGTGCAGATGACAAGAAGAACTACACACATTTTCATAGTTGCCAATAATACTATCGAAATCCTTTATTACTTTCAGCGTAAGAACTATTTAATACCAATCCAACCGTTGCGCGATCCGGAAGTGGATTGCATAAATTTGGAAAGCCTTCTAAAGAAGCTGAATTGTTCTCACAATAATCTTTTAAATATTATTATTTTGGATGCTTGCCGAGCTGATAAGGCCAATGACACATGGAAAAAGAAAGGTATTAATGAAGAATCATGTCTTAAAGCGGCATTTGGTAAACCAATAAACTTACATTTGAACGACGCGAAGGGTAAGTGACGGAGAAAAGACTTATTCGGGTCAAATGAAAGCTCTCAT